AAATCAATTAAATAAATAAAATATTATAATACCAAAATAGTAATGGTATTTAATGCAGTTGACTTTTCTGGATAGTAAATATAGTAAATAAAATCTCTTTTATATAAATATAGATATTATATTATATTATGTTGCTCAAAATAGTAATGCATTTATTGCATTGACTTTTTAACTTACTAAATTTCGTAAATGATACACCTTATTATATAAGTATAGATTTGGAACAACCTTATAAATATTGCGAGTTACACTTAGAACATCTCCAGTCCTTATCTCTATTTTAGCGCGGCTTTACTCTACTATATATTAGAGTGAAACATTCATCTCCAGCCATTATCTCTATATTTTACTCTACATTAAATATATTAGTTCTTATTCATTTTTATTTCAAATGAATTGGTGTATATATATGTATATTTAATCTTATATAAATATTTATTACGCAAATAATAAAAACTTATTTTAATTATTTTTATTTCAAATGAATTAGTATATATATGTACATCTAATTTTATATAAAATATTTATTAGCCAAATAATAAAAATTTATTTTATTCATGTGGAACCATTTTAATATTAAAAATTTAAAAAATAAAATTACAATACATTAATAAATATAAAGCCCAAAATTATTTAGTATAAAAAATGCATTGCACAAAGTTATTTAGCATAAAAATACATTTATTAATACACATTATATACAAAATTATCATTAATATTACATTAAAAATACGAAAAAAATGTGGCGTTGCGCTACAATTGGTGCAATACTTTTCCTACATCTCATCTAGCGCAAGATTTCAGTGCAAGCAGGGGTTGGCTAGACCGGGCTAGATTTTTTGTGTTCTAAATATATAGTAGTAAAAATTATTTTAACTAATGAAAAATTTATTTAGCCAAAATTTATTTTATACTAAACCAACCAATCATATATATGGACATGATTANTAAGCTACTTTATTTAAGAAATTTTTAATTCGATATCATTTATATTACTTTCTATGTAGAACACTTCAATTGCTTATTATTTCAAATATGATATTTTAATATAAAAAGTCAGACAATTTCAATCTCATCTATTTGTGTAACTACATTTAATTAAATTACATATCTTCATAGTTTAAGTGACATCTCATGTAATCAATGTGCTAGGTTGACCAGTGTAAATGGTTCGCCCGCTCATAGTAGTATTTACAATAAATTATATTAAAATTTCTAATTAAAACTCAAGTAGTCGAGAAAAAATACTATTTTGTACTTTTTAAACAAAAAAATAGCAAATCAATTAAAGAAATACATGTAAGAGTTTATGTTAAATGAAAACTAGAAAATATAACAGTTGATAATTTTAATTTGTAAAATAATTTCACATTTTTATTAATTTATTTATCATTCCTTTCACTATGATAAATATTTTCGTATAGGTTTTTTATACATGGTATTAGTGGTGTTGTTCAAGCTAAATTGAGATAAATACGTTGTGTTCGAACTAATATTTGTTTAATAAATAAGCATGTTTGACTCGATTCATTTAATAAATTTAACTCGAACTTTAAGTAACAAAATTAAGTTATTTTTGCTAAAAAAATTTCCTATAAAAAAATTGAGCAGATAAGCATGTTTGACTCTATGTTAACTAAAAACTTAATTCTAATAAAAATATGTAGCAGCCAATCCAGGGTAAGATAAATTTTTGGCTACGCCTCTGAACGTAGGGTTGGAGACATTTTTTGACACAACTTCAACGTATTGCTCCAAAATAGAGCTTGTGCTTGATAAAACACTTTTAATACATTTAAAAGCTTAATGATACGATTATAGATATACAAATACGATGTAAAATTTGGATTAGGTTGGTAGCACATGATTAGGTTGATTAACTACAAGTTAGGCTTAATGACTCATTCTCATAAAGAAGAATATCAACAAATGGCTAATGCACATGGTTAGGATTTAGTTTATGCCTTCATCAAATTCTAATCTGCATCCTGTGCGATACACGGACGGACTTGTTACTTAAAATATTTTTTCAAATTTTATTTTAGAAACAATTATTCATATTTAACATCTCACTAGTACAACACCCGTGTATTACACGGGTGCTTGTTAAAAAAATATTCTTAAATTTTAAAATTAATAATAAAAATTATTTTAAATTTTTATTTACTTTTTTTACCAAAATATATATTATTATATATTTTACAATGACATTTGTTACTTGTGCGACTTACATGTGTTATATTATACTAATTTTTATAACTTATATCATATAACTACTTGATATATAAATATATTAATTGATAAATAATTTTATTTTTCTAGTTAATACTAAAAAGCAATTTTATTATTGTTACAAAGATAAATACAATTTTTTTTTATACGTACAATATGGATATTAAATCGAAGCTCATCAAGAGATGATTAATTTGATATATTATATATCAAACTGATTAAAAATACAAAAGTTATTAACTTTTAAAATATATTTACAATTCAATGGTTATAATAAGAAATGATATTATAATGAAACTAATACATGTAACATGACCATAAATAATCAACATATTTATGGATAATCCAGATCTAATTATTTTTGGATTGGAAGTAAATTAAAATCTGCCCAAGCCTAATAACGAAGCATGTTATTTTGCCACATACGATCTCGAAGCATGCGAGCTTTCCACTTAGGTTCAACACGTTCTGAATTAATATATAGGGGGGATTATAGCAAGAAAAGAAATACAAAATATGAAAAATTATATATTATTTATTTGAATAGAATGAGTATCCCCAACCAAATCAATAACATCTAACACATGATATATGATAAAATTAATTATATGAATCGTCATGCTTTTTTAAAAAATATATATATTTAATAAATATGAGACATTTAATATTCACATTAATATATTGATACATATAAATCTGATATGGGATACCGAACCCTAAGAACAAACCCAATAAACCGACAGCGATACATATAAACCTAATATGGGACACTGAACCCTAAGAACAAACCCAATATATTGATACATATAAATCTGATATGGGATACCGAACCCTAAGAACAAACCCAACAAACCCAATAAACCGGCAGCGATAGACTGTTGGAAACTCGACTTGCAGACACTGCTGGTCTTATGATCGACTAGAAAAGGGCAGCGCTTGGTCTCAGAGTAGGCCGGGTATCGATCTACCTCAGCAGACATCGAACTGGTCATACTATTAGGAAACTTAATAAGAAAGATTAAAGGATAAGAAGAAATCTTGAGGGGTTAAGAGCCGCACGTGGATAGGGCAACGTGGCCTAACAGAATTGGGCAGTTCAGACAGTTTAGGCAGCTCGGGTTGTACAATCGGGTAGCTCGGACAGCTTGGACAGTCCATCCTGATAATCTTGAGCAACAAGGTATCACCTCCCTATATGAGGGAGTGATATATGTTTATTATCACCTTACATTCTCTATTATTACATACACTATTTTCTACACTTCGTCTTCTACAAGTGCTCATTTAAGCATTAGAGGCTCTTCACCGGAAAATCCCTCCAGTGTGAGAGTTTTTGTAGGTCTGCAGACAATCTACCAATGAGGAAGTTCGAGTTCAGACCGATTCCAGCTGGTCCGAGGTCTTTTGCGTACCATTTTTGCGCCGTCTGCAGGACTTTCGTGCGAAAAGTTGTGTTCACCATAGCCTTGACTGGTGAAATTAATTTCCACGAAAAACTTGGAGCACACTTTTGACGAGGAGTGGCCGAACTCTCGTCCGTCTAGAGCAGGCCAACCGCCGGGGTTCTCCCGACCTTCACAGACCTCGGTGACCCTAACGCCTCGTTCTATGGGCTTAGGGAGTACGTCGGTGGTCCCAACCGATGTTGCAGGCTCAAGCCAGGCTTAGAAGGCTCGAGCAACCCAGAGCATGGTGGTTCCGGTGCAGACCCAACCAGTTATAGCTCCAGTGCAGCAAGGAAAGGCGATGGGGCCACCAAGGACCGAGGTGGATTGAGTTGACCATCAACTAGTCACAATGTCGAGCCAGGAATTGGAGAAAATGATTTGCAAATGTCGTGGCGGTTGGAGCGGTTCAGCAGGGTACTCACCACACTTCTAAGGCTACCATCGAAGCCGAGATGGACGAGTCAAGTAACGGAGAAGGAGGTGGTCATTGGGATCAACATTTTGAAAGGATGGCAGAGCAGATTCGCCAATTGCAAGCTAAAGTGGATGGTAGGCTGGTAGGTTGAGCTGGGGGACACCCTTACGTCGAGCCACTTCTAGCTTGAGCTCACGATCCTTCACTTTGAGATTGTTCTTGTAGCGAAGGTCGTTTTTCTACAGATGTTGGGCCAGCTCGTGCCACACTTACACCAGCATCTGGTTTTCCCCAGCGCCGATTTTCCTCAGCAAGTGATAGGTCGAAAAAATGTGCACGTTTTATATGTTTATTGTTTAATAGTGTATTTTTATACGCTTAATTTATTCACATGTTTATATTTTTCGACCTATTTACTATTTGAATGAATTTAAGTGCTGTGATATTTTTATGTTTATTTTCAGCATTAGAGTATTTTTGTGGATTAAAAAATATTGGACAAGGGCTTAATTTGGCCCAATACCAGAATTGCCGCCGAAGATAAAAATAAAATGAGATCTTAAAATAAGGACGGGCCACGAATTGGGCCAAGGATTGATTTGGAGGAAATTTGATCAGTTGGGGCACTTGAATTAATTGGAAGTGGATTGCTGGAGAGAAAGACTCGTGCACTTTTGTGGAGTCTTTTTTTTTTACTTTCCGGAACGATTTTTTGTGGAGTCTTTATTTGCTTGAAAATTTGCAAAAGCGGAGGCATTTTTATTGGGACGCAAAATAGTGCTGGTGTCGATATGGGCTCAATGCTAATATGGGCCTTGCGCTTTTCTGGTGTGGACGGAGCTAGCCTCAAATATTTATGCACAACAAGCTAAACTCGAAATATTCGTGTTGGTTCAATTCATTTACAATTCTTGTGGCTATATTGAGAATTAAAGACACTCTCTATCTCTTTTCAAATTTTTTTTACTCTGTTGCAGCAGTGCACCGTCTTTCCATTTCTATCCCTTTTTATTCTTGTAATGCTTGATTTTTGAAATATATATTCAGTTATTTAACTTGACGGTTATTCATTCCCCATATTAACCTTCTGTCTTTTTTTTTCAAGTCTTTGCTTTTCTTTCTGTTGCAGAACATCCTCAATTTTTTTCTCTTTTTTTTTCTTCTTCTAATTTCAAGTGATACACTCATGAAAAATCCAAAAATTGTTATTAATGATCTTTCCGTTAATAAAATTAGGGTTCTTGTAGATATATTATATCTCTTTCTCACGAATTTAAGGTTGAAATTAAAAAAATCAAAGCATATTTTAGTAATAGGGTTGGAGCAGCCATCGACTCGTTCTCGCCGTGGAGGGCCAGAGGTGCCACCGACTCGCTGTCAACGAGTCCGATTGAACACTCACCGTGGAGGGCCGAAGGCACTCAGCCGCTTGGGATTTTTCAGCCTTCATCCGCTCAAGCCGATGCTGGAGCCGCAGTCCGCGACTGAGAATCACGTGGTGCGTACCTTTATTAAGATCGATTTTGTTGAGGAATTGAGTAATTGGATTATGGTATATTGAATTGGGGTTTTCTGCATATAACATCTATGTAAAAAACGAGCTTTCTACCTATGTTAATCATTCTTTAATAATTAAGTTGAGTGTTGATTATTTTTCAGTATCTGAATTTTAATCCATTTTTATTTTTTATTCAAAAAAATTTAACAAAAGGGGTTTGGTTCTTTATATTAGTAGTTCTTGGAGGAAAATATGGGTTTTAACGCTACTTTAATACTTAAGTTTGTAAATTTTCAGCCATTTATTTTATGTGTTTTGATTGTTGTAATAGTGATTTTTTATTGTTATGAAATATACTATCTCATATATTAATTATAAAATTTAAGTTTGTAATTGTTAACAGAATGTTGTTTTCATGTTGATAATGTTGATTTCATGTTGGTTGATAGATGTTATATCGTTGCTTTTATGTTGCTTGACAAATGTTATAGTTGTTTTTATGTTGATTGACAAATGTTATGTTGTTGTTTTGTGTTGCTAATCTTGTTGTTTGTTTTTTATAATTTTTGTCATTAATTTCTAAAGTTATAATAACAAAACTTTTATTATTTTTTAGTTAATTTAATTGTTATGTATATCATTCTCTTTATTTATATTATCTTTTTGGTTGTTTTTTTTTTTCTTAGGTATTTATGCTTGAAGTAGAAGAATAAGAAGAAATATTTGGAGGAGGAGAAAAGAAGAAACAGGGAAGAAGAAGATAGAAATGACGTGGGAGAGAAAAGAGAAATTGAGAGAATGAAAAAAAGAGACGAGAAAGAGAGAGAAAAAAGGAAGAGAGAGAAACAAATAGATAAGGATGTTCAGTTAACTGGTTTTAAAAATAAAATGGAGTATTTCTGGAATTCATTATAATGTGTATCTTTTATGGAATGTTTTATTTTTAGTGAGTTAGTTACGTCAATTGCCCCTATATTGATGACTAGGGATTATTAGAAAAAGGTAAAATTGTGCATTGCATCAAAACCTTTTTAAAATTTGTAATTTTTTGTCATTTTTTATTCTTGACAACACGGTGCCTGATCTTTATATTCTTGACAAATTGAAGCACATGAGCATGACCTCAACGATTGGCAAATGACGTGGCCGGTCGTTTTGTCCACGTGACATCAACGTGGATATTATAACACACTCTTTTAACAAAATTTTGTCCCAATATTTTTTTTCTTAAGTGAAACGCTACATGATTTATTAATCTCCTTAAGATAAAATTTACAAAATCTAAAATCAGTTTTGCCAAATCAGACCGTCAACTTACCACAAAGTATAAATAAAAAATCCAGAGCACCTAAATTGGAAACAGATTAGTGAACTTGAAAAAATTCAAACATCACAAAAATAGGCATGATCCAAAATTTAAAATAATTTGTTAAATAAATTATCTCGTTTTCTTCTCTCTTCCCCCAAATTCCCGTAACCCTAGCGCTCTCATTTGTGCACGCTCGCCTTCCACGGCGGCGGTGCGGCGCTGGCCAGTGGTCGCGCTCAATTGCCGCCCCTTCTCTGCTGTTCCGGATCTCTGAAGTTGTTGCGTAGTGCTTGCGCCAACTGGTAAGTCTTGCTCTTTTTCGCCGGCGAAGTTGCGATTGGAGGCGGCGAGCTCTTCGGTCGTCGATTGGTTCGCAATTGATGGAGTCAGTTGCCCGTTGGTTGCGATTGGAGGTGAGCATTTCTCCATTTGTCAAACAGGGGCAAACCGAGTGCGGTCCACACATATGAAGCGCAATATAAGAGGGTTAGCCCAAATGAAGCCCAAGTGAGGTTCCATCCCAAAACTATTTAGTGATGGGAGGAGTAGCCCGCTAGGCTTATAAACTAGGCTCATTTACCCTATCAAATCAAATCAATGTGGGACAACTCACAAGTGACATTCCAACACGCCCCCTCACTTGTGAGTACTTCATCAGCCCACGCCTCCAACTAGGTCGGGTACATTTTTTTTCAGCCCACGCCTACAATCAGATCGGGTACCTTTT